TTTCAAAGGATACGCCCAAAAGTGGAGAGATCTGGCTGGTAGGGTGCAGCCCCCTTTAACTGATAGGGAGCTGATTGACATCTTTATGGGAACTTTGACAGGGCCTTTCTTCAAACACCTAATCGGAAGCTCTTCAGCCGGGTTCACCGAGCTAATACAGACCGACGAAAGGGTTTAAGTTGGCATCAAAATTGGAAAGATCCAAGGAGCTACACCTTCTGATGCTCAAAAAAATCCATACAGTGGGAAGAAAGAGTCCAATGCTGTGTATGGTCAAAAGAGTCGCCATGATCAACATGTAGGGGAAATCCTGATCTCTAATCCTACACCTGTTCAATAAAGACAAAGCAATAGGCGTAGGGTAAGATATCAAGAAAGGAAGTACACTAACATCAACATGCCTTTGTCTTAAGCGTTGCAACATTTGCTGAAGTTGAAGCTGATCACGCCAAAGGATCCTCCTCAAAATCCCGATACCTCCTCTTCTAAGTACAATCCAAGCGTAAGATGTGCCTACCATTCTGATAATCCCTGACATGACACTGACAACTGTTGGACTTAGAAGAACAAGATTCAGGACTTGATTGATGCCAAAGAGATCGAGTTTGACCCTCCGGAGACTCCAAACGTGATCACTGCTCCTATGATGAATCATTGAGAGCGTCTTTTTCATTTTGAATTTTCAATTGTAATTTCTTTTGTTATTCAAACAATTATCTATTAATGTTGAACTTTGTTTCATTAATGCATTGCATATGTTTGTATTGAATTGATCCATTCGTTTTCATTTAAACTATGCTTTTTACTCTCTTTATGACATTTAACTCTTGCTAAAAGTTACAAGCCTTTAGAGGGAGGATGACGAAAATAATGGCATAATCTCATACAGTATGCTTTTGGACAGACCTTGCTCACGATGTACATGCGTTTCTTTTAAATCCTAAACACTAGAGTTATAAGGAAGATAATCCCTAGTGAACCCCTTCGAGCCAAAGAAGTAGAAGTTTTCTTTTTTTACACAAATTGAAACCTTTTAATCAAAAACTGGGGCAGGGTAGTCTCTCAGTTAATTCAAATGCGCGTTTAGCCACAAACTCTCATCTCGTAATACGACGAATGACATCAAAAATGTTCCTCTGGAATCAAAAGACAGTGATGGTTCCCTACCAAATAGGCAGTCATTATCTCTCAAAAAAGAAAAACCCACTAAGTCAAAACCTACGAAGGAGACTTAAGAAAAATTGGGGCATCCCGCTGACATAATCTCAAAACAAGAACAGTCAGGCAAAAATCATGGATGACAAATAAAAAAAAGAGGGTCGCTACAAATCCTCAACAACATGAAAAATGTTGTAAAAATGACTGCCTTCCGATAAACTTAACTTGTCTGAACCATCACCACAATGTCATTCCAGACTCAATTAGAGTTCAAACGCACAATTAACTGAGTTTAGGACTGAAGAACATCACGAAGAGCGGGTGGGTACAAATACACTTTGAGCCTTTATCCTTTGTTTCTTAAACCATGAACCAAGCCACGTTACAAGCCTTCAAAAGTTCTAATTGAAGCATGGGTTAGTTCGAAAGCATACTGTTACTAAAGGTATCCTGACTCTTGTAAGGCTTTACTCTAAATCCGGAGTTTGAATTTTTCTTACAAAATTTATGTACTTGCTAAAACACATTTTCAAAACTTCAAGACAAGAATAAACTTTGCATTATTTGAATATCGTTTTTTGCATATGGCTATTTGTTTGACAGCAGAGAAATTCGCAAAACGAATATCTAATGAACGAAAGCTCTCTCAGTGAACAAAATCACTTCAAGTAGGATGACACTTCCAATGACAAATCTCTCATAATCAAGGGGCACAACATGACCTTTGTCTAACACATCTGGGGAAGTCGAGTTTAGATTCAAAGAATCTCTCAAAGAATTATTGAATAACTAGGGGAAAATCTCCGTATGTATCACTCAAGGGGAAATGTTACGATGATCATGGGTTTGAACAAAATCCACTTTGAAGACCTTCAGTACCATCAAAAATTACTTTTCTGTACCAATGGTATCATATGGTGTCAGTATCATATCTTTAAATCCGCCTGTGACAGTTCTTCGAAAATTCTGAGACTTGACCAAAGATCTTGGACACCACCATTTTGTTCATCTGTGCCAGTAGTATCAGATGGTGTTAGTATCAGGTCTTCGTTTTCTTCTACAACAATCTTAGAAAATATCTCTAGGAAGTTCAGGGCTACCGGAAATGTGATCAAAATCTCAAGCGTCAAGGTGCACCAGTTTAACTTAGAGGAAAAATAAATGACTAAGCTCTTTTTGAAAACTCTGAGCTCCTTTTATTACGAAAGGATAGTAGCTAGTGCACCTAGTAATTTTATCGAGATAGTGAATATAGGAATGTGTCTTAAAGAGGGAGTCTAAGAGGGATGTTTGACTAAAGAAGGTAGTTTTCCCAATGGTTACAAAGAATTTTGGAAGTGGTTTCTCTAAGTAAAAAGAACTTGATGCTAATGTTGTTTCTCAAGAAAAACATAGGAAGCCTATAGGGAGGAATAATAATCATCAGGTAGTGTTTGTCGCACCTATTTTTAATCCTGCTCTCGTTGCTCAGGCAGCTTCTGCCTATCAACCTCAGTTCCAACAATAACATGTGCATCAGCACTATAATCAGCAGAATCGTGTTCAGAAGAAGGTGCAGTTTGACCCAATTCCTATGACATATTGATGAATTATTCCCTGATTTAATTCAGAAGAATCTTATGCAAACTAGGTCTCCATGTGTCATTCTAAAGGATCTTCCTTGGTGGTATCAGGCTGACCAATTCTTTTCAGTATGAATTCCCATAAACTCATTCATATAGTGTATCTTTATTTTCATACAAAAACGTCATTAACAAAAACAACAGCATATTTAAGTTTGCAAAAATTCCTGTTAAATGGCACAATTACCTCCCAAGATTCCTAACAATATTAATGATGATGACAACGAGTTCGACAAGTTTGATGATGAACAGTTTATGTCCATGTTCAACGATGAAATAGCTGGTGTACATAACATGCCGCCGATATAGTACTCATTGAATGCTTCGAGTCCTTCTGATATTAATAGTTCCTTTTCAACGAAACTAATTTGCACTTTTTTGTGCCAAGTTTTTCTTCATCGGTTAGTATTTAGCAAATCTATGAGCATAACATCATACTGAGAATTGTGCTTTTGGAGATTCTTAGGTTTCTGATCATGTTCTCGAGGATATTGAGTCTATGGTCCAAGGAATTAAAAAGTGTGTTCCTATTTTCTTCACAAAAATAGATCCAACTTGCCTATTTGAGGTGGGAAACATCAATGCTAAAGATTATCTACCATTCTGTTTAAAATCAAGAAATTCTGACATAAAAAGATTCTCATATAAGTAAAATTAATGTTGTATATGTTTTAAGTGAATTTTCTCTTTCTTTTCAACTTAATTTCTTTCTATTTATTATTTTTAAAGTGCAGATGGGAACACTGTATGTTGATCGAATATATTTCAGCGATCATCACATATTCCATGTCAGGGTACATTTATCTACTCTTCTTGGAGAACTAGAGAGGAAGTTTGGTTTCAAACTAATTGTTGTAATAACTGAGAAGGTAATTAGAGATAGTTTGTGTTGTACATATATGGAATTTCATATATAGGTTTTCCTTTTGGCAGGATTATGATAGGGACCCTGAAGTTCTTAAGCAATTTTATCCATTTAAAACTTGTTGTGTTTTACATTGAAGATTTTACCCTATTGAGAAAACTGATCGTATCTGATTAGAAGGGATCGTTGATAGTCCACAAGTTTGAGTTGAACAGTAATTGAAAGTGAAGTGGAGTATACCTACAAGGTACTTCAATGCCAAAGTGAGAATATAAACAATCAGAGCGCAAGTACAAAGAGTGAGAGTGAACGAGTACTTGACCCTCTCGTATGAGAGGGTATTTATAGTCTTCAGCGTTGGACCAAAATCTACGTATTGGGTCAGATAATTAGGTCCAATAACAAAGATTGCCAAGGTTACGTGAGTAGTAGAGACCAGCACGTGGTCTCCTCCCTGGTCAACTGCTCCGAGATAATAGGGAAGTTAGATTTGTTATTCTCGATGGGCGGAATAGTGGTAGTTTCGGATAACCATTGGCCACGTCCCTTTGGTGGGCGCATTGGGAGATTCCCAACGGTTGATGACTTGGGTCATATGTCATTAGGCCATAACAAAAGTACTGGATTGGACCTGCTCAACGGTGGACCAAACGTGAACCCAATCCAGAACATAAACAGTGAAGACAACTTTAAGAAGTTTCTTAAGGATAAATTGAAATTAGATTAGCCTGCAGCGGATTAATTGCTTGTCAATCCCTCTGTTTTCTTTGTATTTAATTACCTGCTTCTTTCCTTTGATACCTTCTCAATTTCTTCATTTACTGTTTGTATTAAAACAAGAGAATGTTAATAAATAACAGAGTTGAAATATTTTGCAGCAATACTGAACTGGATTAGTGGTATTTTGAGGACCTGGGTTCAATTATTGGCTCAGGCAATATTTTGGAATTTTGAGGACCTTTATAATGACCATATACCACGTGTATAAACAGATGCCACGTGCATATATCATTCATCATCATAGTCAATCAGTCCAAACAACAGCTGACATATAATGGCAATCAAATTGTCTTGAAAAACTTCAGTACTTGTTTATGTTTTTGTTCACATTGAAAAATACATATAGCAAGATGATAGACACTACAAAAATAGGTTCTCTTGCATGTTTTCCACACCAAACCAATGGATTTCCTGAATTATCTTCGCTAAGTTGTTAACAAAGATTGACAGGGGGAAGGTTGGTTGAGTAGCTCTCAGTTGGAACAAAACCACTAGCTAGTCCTCAAGTCAAATCAGTTCTGGAACTGATTATGTCTGCTTCTGGAAACCTTAAACTATATTAATTTGATGTGCGTCTATTTGAGAGTAATCTCATAGATGACACCTTCAAGATTCCCAACAATACACTTTGTTCCAGGTACTTCCTTCATCTGCATCCCAAACTTAGAAGCTTCAGAAATAATCATTGAATCCATCCTGCATTAAGAGAAATCTTAGTTGAACAAGAAAATGCCAATAATTCTGACCGTATCATATCATATGTCAACCTAATCAAAAGCTATAAAGACTGAATAAGTTTTTGTACTCTAAAAATCAGATAATACGACACTTCTGGTAAACACTTGACTGAATCATTAATTTAGTTCCTAAAATTGTATGGTCGGGCAATTTGGTCACTGCAATTAAAGATATTCAGAAATAATCCCTAAAGTAGAAAATCCTCAATCGTGTAAAATATTTGGGTCGATCAATTTAATCTTTAAAACTGTCCCTGAGGTACTAACATAATTGAGGATTTTAAATTTTAGAAATCATTTGTTTTTTTCGATTATCTTAGACTAAATTGTCTTACCCTACAACTTCACGGATTTAAAAAGATTATTTACTCTATCTTTATGAGGCATCCTGTCGGCAAAAAACTGAGACTTGCTAGGAATAAAGCAGATGACATGGGAAGCTGCAATCCGCAATTGATATACAAAAGTATCACTATAGCTCAAATATCAAGAGTTCAACATGAAGAAAAATGCACTCTAGTGTCCCTTACAAGCCAGGGAGTTCAACATGAAGAAAAAGGCACTCTAGTGTCCCTTACAATGCAGAGTTCAACATGAAGAAAGGTGTAAAAGATCAAGAAATGCGGCAAAATTGTTTTCAAAACCTGATATTAAAATTGTAGCAACGGGTCCAATGTTGACCGCTCAAATTTTGAAAAGATCAAATTCTTACTCCTTCCTATCTTGATTTTAAGAAAAAGTAACTAAACTCACTTCTTTTAAATTAGTTAGGTTCAACTAATCTTCTTCTCAAACAAAATATGCGCATTCTCGGAAGTGCACCTCATGGAAACTTGATCCATATCAATAAGAGGAGTCTTTAACATAGTTATGAATCCCAAATAGCGGAGCGGAGCGACCGACCCCAAAAATGGGATAGCGGATAACGGGATAACCACTATTTGACTATTTTTTAGACTAATTATATGAATAATCTATAAAACACATATCTAATGTAAAACCAAACAAAGAAGAGGAATAGAGTTATTAAATGACTATTACTTAAATAAAACAAAAGTAAAACCAAACCAGATTTATTTATTTTAAGGGTAAATATGGGTTTTCACATTCAAAACAGTTCAAACCCGCTTGGACCAGAAAGCTTCCCACTCCCGCTACCCGCTAAACATCAAATAGCGGCCGCTAAACATCTAATAGCAAAGGGTCACCGCTCCGGGCCGCCATCTCGGATAGCGCCGCTATTGATAACTCAGGTCTTTAAATAAAGTGATAATGATTAAAATTGTTTATATTTGACACCATCATGCATAAATACTTTTTTCATTTATATTTGAGACTGAAGGAAGTATTTAATCACAACCAAGTCCCAAAATATAACAAACTATAGTTGCAATGAAAAACTTAATTTTAGACAAACTAAAATGATTTCAATTGAGAAACAATGTAGATATTTATAGATTTATAAAACTATTTTCAATGTAAAATAAGTTCCGAGTATGTTGAGTGTTATACACCCACTAGTGTCTATTGCTATCTAATATTATAGATCATAGACACATCAAATATTAAAAGTAAATCCGAATCTAATCAACTATGAGATGAGAATGTTGTAAGTCAAAACAAACAAAAGAACATTCACTAAACCCATAAATAAACAAAAATATGAAAAATAATGAGCTAGAATACATACATCTTTGCTCGTGATACATAGGCTAGTATGAACTTGCATTTCCCGCCTTCTTTAACTTGCAGGAGCTGTCTAACACTGTCAAACAGCAAAGGGATGTTTGCCTGCTGAAAGCTTATGATTGTCAAGGTCACTGATTAATTTTTATTTGGTGAAAATAAAATACTAGCATTGCACAGAGCTATAGGTGAAAAGCACAAATTTGAATTTCAAGTTTTACGGAAATAACTGGAATTAGTTCACGTAAAGCTATGACAAATAGAAAAAGCTTTAAAATAGGTAGATGAGTGACGTAACTTAGAAAAATGATTTATTCCCATCATGACTATAAGAAGAAAACATGATACCTGCTTTTTTAAAAGAAACCACAAAGATGGTTGGGCTACTGGCTTGGGTGAGAAATACAAAGAGCCAGCTTTGCCAGTAACTAAGTATTTACGTATATTGCAAGCCGTCATGTTTTTAGGCATTCATGCTTAGTTCTAAGGTATGATAACAATGGGATTAAATACATAATAAGGATATAGATATCAGCTCCAAGAACGAAGTCGAAACCTCCAGGATGTTTTTGTAAAATTTCATGGACCTGATCAGTGTTCCCCCATTCTAGTTTCTCTGCTACTAATCCTGCACATATATATTTAAATTAAAATTCAGAGGATCAAAATAAGTATCTTTCATTAATCATCTAGGTATTACTCACCATGAGAAGTAGGACTAATATCTTGAGGACATGAATGCAACTCTATATTTTTATTTATGATCTGAGAGAAGATAGTTAAATTATACCATGTAGAGATAATCTGGAAGGAGATAATGCCAAAATGTGTTATACAAATAGACTTTGATAACCCTACCTTAAGCACCTCTTCGTTATGGTCTGTCAACACAACTTTATTGCAGAATTTGCGGCAAAGTATTCCAGTAATACCTGCAATTCAAAGCAAGAAATAAGTATCAAGGTCTAAAAACATATACTTAGTAAATAAGGATAAGCATCAATGTAATCAATATGAACAGAAGCAATGATAATTATTTATAAAAGTGAACATACCAACACCAGAACCTAATTCAATGACATTGCAACCCCGAAAGATGTCGAGATTTTTGGATAGATAATCATTCAGCAACATGGCTCCAGGCCATACCAGCTGCCCTGTCAAATCAAAATCAGCTGATTCCAAAGATAATTAGTATTGTGATGATCTACAAAAAAAAAAAAAAAACTAGAAGATGCATAAAGCTCTGTAATCAAAAAAAGAAAAACTTACTGGAAGCAGAATGCAGACAGAAGAGCTGAATATGTTGAGAGCCAAATGTGAATTCCGTCAGCTGATAACTTCAAAATAATGTAAATATAAGGGTCTGCTTGAATAAACAGCTTATTTGCAACTTATAACAAAAGTGCTTGTATATGATTGTATAATCTATTTTTATAACAAAAGATAAAATAAATTTAAATATTTTTATATACGCTATAAATTGTTTTCATAACCAATCTTAGAGAATTTATAAAAATAAGCTCAAAAAAATTTATGAATAATGTGATAAGCTGTTTTAATAATCTCTTCCAAACACTGTCACAATTTATATCATAAGATAAGTTGAAATAAGTAAATTCAAAGAGGCCCAAAATGGTTACAATAGTGAGAGTGAAAATATAGTTACTTGTCATTCATGAAGAACGATGCGTCTAAGCATACGATTTCGTCTTCATCGTCGGAAACTCTGGGTTGTTCGATTTGCACTACTTTGTTTCCTCTTTCTTCCATGTTCGCTACTACGACGTCGTTTTGGTTCATAAGCAGGGTTTTGTTGTTGCCAACGAAAGAGGGAAGTTGGATTTTCTTTTTCTTTACCAAGGAGAAATGGATGTGATATTTTCGCTCCTACGACGTCGTGTCGGTGACACTAATGCCAAATATTCAAAAGAATTTAACTAATTAATTGTTATTACTTCTATAATATAAGAACATAAATCTACCTGGTTAATTCTATTTTGTAATTGGTAGTAAGAATGGATTGAAAATGTATTTGAATCTCAGGGTACAGAGTTCGTGAGGGGTAGAGAAGATTGTGAGGTAGCAGTGTCGGAAGCGTCATGCGAGAGGTACGTGTAACACCTCTTTTCTAACTCGTGTATAATATATGACAAAATCAGAGTAATATAATATGCACATCACAAAAGGGTGTCACATTTACTTTACGACAACAAATCTAATACATTGGTCGTATTCATAACACGCATTTAAAATCATGTCTCATACAATAACATTTATGTGTCTCGCAGTTGAATAATTCTCAATTCAGAATGATAATACTAATTATTGAAATCTCATACTTACAAACATATCTTAAAATATTAGACACTAAGGTCAATCATCACATAATCTCATACATCGTCAAATAAAATAGAGTAATAATAAACATTTCTCAAAACAAATCAAAACATGAGTTCAAATATTCTCCCGTGTTACATAGACCAGAGCAATGACTCACTACCTAAGAAAGCATATAAATAGAACTAGTTCCTCTGTCTAATCCTTGCTAGATTAACTGTTATCTTCAGTACCTGAGCGATGTCGTATAAAACATCATTCCAACATAAGGGTGAGAATTCATATCATTATGGAAACATATAATAATAAATAATGCATAATAAACATACATCAAATAAATTCATCACACTTCACATAATCTTGTAATTAACATACTTCAATAGAATTCACATGATTACATATACAACATTTCTCAACGATACAAGATTCAAAGATAATCAATCACAAATACCACATATGTAACATTCACATCAACATAATATGATTCACATCACTTCAACATTTCACTTCCATGCATGTGACTCCAATGCAACCCAATGCAATATGCATGTGGTACCAAATGTTATCCTTACCGATCCAGCCGGATCCATCTCTCAGATAGATAACCACCAATAAAATCTTGATTCAGCCTTAAGCTTTCAAACTCCATTTGGTGTTAGATTTGGGACAAGTCAATGATTCCCACAGAATTATCAAACATTGCCTCTTGACATAAATGATGCATGTACATGTGCAATCTCAACAATCATATGCAATTAAGATCATCCCTCAATCTTAATCATACAAGTATATTTCACATAATTCAACACATTTGAATTATCTTCACCAAATTGCACAACATACATCAATCATGTTATCAATCACATACAACGCATTCTCATAGAATTCATCAACTCAACACACCATAATAACACATAACAAACAATGCCAAAATATGTTATTCTTATTCATCATCAATTCATAACATACATATACACAAAATCAAGTATCATATTCATAGTATTCTCGATTCAACATACCACAATAACACATAGCAAATAAAGCCAAACAATGTTATTCACATCCAACACCAATTCACAAACCGAACAACACAATTACAATTCATTTACATAATCAAGTTATTTTTAAATCACTTATTTCCAACAAGACAGTTTTTATGGAAAAGAATATCACGCTAGATTTCTAACACTTCAAATGGAGACTCAAACGGAGCTACGGTTCAAAAGTTATGACTTTTTGAAACTTTTACAAATTGCAAATCCTAACATCATACACTAACACCACAAAACCCATTAAACATGATCACGACTTTATGAGTCTTTCGGAATTACTAACTGCAAGTGCACAGTATAATCGTGTAGTTTTAAAAGATATCGAACCCACAAGGACTGTTAATCAAACTAATGATATCTAATGTTACTATGTAATCTAAGGCTGGAAGATAATCTTAGGTTTTTGAGGGAAATAAGGAGTAAATTCAAGTTTAGTAAAATATTTGAATTAAAGGATACCAGTATGTAATTCGTCCGACTTCAGGGATCTGACTAACCATTGGTTTTGTTTTTCTTAAAAATACTTTTCAGTAGAAAATATTAGTTTAAAAATCCTTATCTCACACTCTCGTGTTTATTGATTTAGACTATATTCTTAAATCTAAATGTTTGCTCTCACTGTCTCATTTGAATTTAAAAACACTTTTTAGAAACCAATAAAATCTAATTTATTCTAAAGCGCTCTCGTTGTATTTAGAATCAATATTCAGTTACTACTATCCGATTAAAAATCTCAAGCTCATGTTGTATTGATTTTAACCTTGGTTGTCTTTTACTTTCGTAACAAAACAATTTTAATAATTTAACTAGAAACCAAACCCAGAAAAGTAGTTTGTAAATATTTATACCAATAGGTTTTCAAATCTCTTTGTTAGATTATGTTACATACCGGTATCTAAGGGAATTAGCTGGACATAGTTTTGAATAGAGATATGATATAACAGTGGGTAATCATAAAACATAACATTGCTTCTATAACTTAAATATAAATAAAGCTTGAATTAAAAACCTAGAAATAATCTCTAGTACAAAAAGAATTGACTGCTACTTGAATGAAAATTAGCTTCATGATCCTTCACAAATGTCAGTATGATTCGCTATCAAAAGTAAAGAATTAAAAAACTAAAATGTAAATCTAAAACCAATACTACAATAGCTCCTCGATGTGGAAAGCTATCACTTTAAAAATGGTGATTTTTCTGTTTAGAATCTAGAAGAAAAAGTGCTCTGAACAATGGAAATTCTTTGTCCCCCGTAACTGTCAATCCTTCTTCCTTTTATAGATTGTTGCATTCACATAACTCCCTCGATAAAAATCAGGAACAACTTCGTTCGTGGAGATATTTTCGTCATGTCTAGTCTCACGGAGAGAAAACAGGATAAGTGATGGACTCGCGGCTCTGACGTGGGAGGGAAACTGGTTCTGTTATAAAATAGCTTGTGGCGGTGGCCACAGGAAGTGTGGCAAGGGCCACAGTCTTAACATGTGTGGCGAGGGTCACAACCTTCTGTGTGCAGATTTTCTTTATTTCTTTTGTTACTTCATATTTTCTTTCTTTTTCTTTGTGAATTCCTCTTCTTTTCGCATGCAAGCCTCTTGGAGGAAAAACACCTGAAATATAATAACACTACCAGCATAAAATTACATAAATGACTGAAAACGGTAAAATAATTCGTGCGAGTCGAGTCAAAAATACGATGAAATTTTGCGTTATCAAACCCCTTACACTTGAACTTTTGCTTGTCCTCAAGCAAATAATCAGCATGAAGATAACTTTAAGCACGAGTTTGACACAAATACACGATGTGATACGGTGGGAGAACTGACTTGAGGAGGATGCGTCGACTCATAGTGAGCAAATGAAGTAGGATGTGTCGATCCAAGAAGTTTTGTGTCGATGCATAATGTCGAATTTCTTTTGACAGAATCAGTTTTAAGTTGCTGTAACTTGAGTTGTAGGATGTTGTTTGAGATGTCGTTCGAAGCGTTGATTAGCTAACGCAATGAATATTACCCTAGATGATTAAAATGAAGATTAAGAGGTGTAATCCTAGTATCCAATTTAGGATTTAGAATTAATTCCCGTAGATGACCGTTATGCTGGATTTTGGACCGAATAATGAATTTTGAGATGTTGATGAGATGCTGTAATTGAGACGTTTATGAGATGTTGTTGTTCTGAGATGTTTATGAGATGTTGTTGTTTGAGATGACTGAAATGTTGTCGTTTGGATGATTGAGATGTTGTTGTTTTGAGATGTGTTTTGAGATGTTGATATTACATTCATGGCATACATTGCATTTTTTTTGAGATGGCCTGGATGGCAAATTTTGAGATGGGAGTTCTGCTCCAAAGGATATGCCTTATTTGATGCCTCTATTAATTGGGTGATTAGATTTTTGAGATGGGAGTTCTTCTCCAATGGTACCACATGCATTTGCATAGTTTTGAGTTGCATTTTATGATTGAATAATGAAGTGTATTTGATGTTGATGAATGGGTATATATGCTGTAATTGTTGTTGATTATGAGATGAGAAGTGGGGATATTATTGATCTAATTTAGTATATTAATTATCATGTGATTTATTATATTGTTAGATATCTCACCCCTTCTGTTTGAATGTTTCCCCTATATTGGTAACGTGCAGGTAATCGAGAGTGAAGGCCGTATACCTTCAATAGATCGAGTTGGTGTCATTGCTCTGATATGTAACACTCGGGGGGGTGAACGCTTGCTGATTTTAGATTGATGATTTTTAGTTGTTGAACCTTAAATTGTTTATTTACTAAATATGAGATGTTTCGAAGTTGTTGTATTATTTAAAGATGTTATTGAAGATTTCCGCTGTGTAGTTGTTGAATTATTTAATGAAAGATGCTATGTTGATGGTTCATCCGACGTTTTGAATAAGTGTTATATATCCATGATGAATGCAATGAATTTATTAGAAGAATTTGTGACGTCCCGATTCATTTGTATGATTGAAATTTTATAACTCTGATTTATTTTGCATAATCTGCTTGGGGTAGAATTAGGGTGTTACAAAGTTGGTATCAGAGCAAAAGGTTGGTCTGACCTTGTCGTCAAGTCTTAGTTGTCTAACAATCGAGTATTGTTATTTTGAGTTCTAATAGTTGTTTGTGTTGTAGTGATAAGTTGAGATGGCTGGAAGGAATGATGTTGCTCTGGTTGCTGCTCTAAAAGCAATGGCTCATGCGATGGAAAATCAGCCGAATATTGACGAGAATGCTGGATCTCGTAGCTTGGCGACTTTCCAGAGAGAGAATCCACCTACGTTCAAGGGAAAATATGATCCTGACGGAGCCTTGGAATGGTTGAAAGAGATTGAGAGGATCTTTCACGTAATGGACTGCAC